TGGGGAAGGGTCGCAGGGCGGCCCGGAGGGCCACCGCAGTGCCGCGCCGGGCTGGGGCCGCGGGCGTCCGGGCCCCGGGAGGGCGGAGCCGGCGGCAGCAGGAAAAGTTACGGCTTCCCGAGAAAGTTGACGGCGACAGCTGGACCGGGGGCGGCAGGTTAGGGGGTCCCCGATGCTGAGCCAGGTCGGGGGTGGGGGCCGCCGACTGGAAGGGCGGGGTCCAGCTTCGGAGCGCCCCGGCCGTGAAGGGGTTAATGAGCGGGGTTTGCAGCAACGTGGGTACCGAGCGGGGGTGGAGGTATCGGGCCGCCTCCACTCCCGACCCGAGGACTCAGCTCTGAACCTCCCGTTTCTCTGGGGTCAGGACGCAGCAGGATGAATGGGGGCGTTGGCCGCAGTAGAGGGCGTGGGGGACGGGGCTGTCCCAGCGCTGCCCACCCCCCCCCCCCCAGGGCGGGTGATGAGAAGAGGCAGCAACTCCCCCCTATCCGCAGCCTGAGTGCCCCTGCGGGACTCAGCTGGGGGCAAGAGGGACAGTGGGGCTGGAACGTCGCCTCCGCCTCCGTGGAAGCCCTCGTGGGACCCCTCCCCCCACCTTGTGTGAGGTCCCTGAAGTGGGTGCAAGGGAGAGTGGGCTCCGTGTAGGTTAGTCATACCCTGCTTGGAGGGTACTCCCCAGTTGCCCACTTGGGCTGCCCTGCTGATGTCCACGGTGCTGCAGGCTGCACACACGTTTCGTTGCACGTGCACGTGTAGACATGGGATGTACACTTGCACGCCGCATGTGCACACATTCTAAGGGCACCTCAGTGTGCGCAGACACAAACACTGTGGGTATGCACATGCATAAACACTTTGGGTGCACACATGGATTCTGAGGTTGCACATCAGTGTCCTCACCCCCGCCTGCACGCCCACGGCCACACACGCATGCACACAGCATGCCTTCTGTGGTCTTCATGCTTGGTACATGCTGGGGCTCCTTAGTGGGACCCACTCCCACACCCACATGTTCATGTGTTGCGGGGGAGGCTTTGGGTAGCCAGGCCCACAGACAGAGGGGCCAGCAACCCTCAGCCCCACCTCTGTCTGCCTACCCCCAAGTCCTAGGAGTCTCCCCTTCACAGCCCCTCAGGACTGTGTGTGCATGTGTGTATGTGTGTGTGTGTGTGTGACTTGGTATGCATCTGCATGTGTGTGTCTGTACACATGACCATGTGTGCTTCAGGGCACATCAGCATGCATCTCTTTGCCTCCAGGTATGGGTGCCCGCTATGTGCCCAGGTGGGCTGTGGCTGTGTTCTTCCTGAATCTAGAGCAGAGGCCCTGGGAATGTGTGTTTGGGGCTTTTTCAGTGCCCCCAGCCCAGGGTGACAGGTGCCATTGTAGCTAATGGTGGACAGGAAAGTCCCATTTCAAACCCTGAGGTCAGCAAGTGACAAACAGGCCAGACCCTGGGCAGCTCGGCCGACTCGAGCAGCTGACCCAGTGTGACTTCAGGGAGGACTTGCCTCTGGCACCTCAGTTTCTCCATGGTGCGGACTTTCTTGGTGAGGCGTTCCGTGGTGGTCTCACCTGCTTCAGGTGTTGCGTGGGGTGCTGAGCAGATGGGCGCCGAGCTGATTAAGGGTGATGGGAAAGGGTACTGGTGACCCACTCACACTGTGGTGAGGAGGACCTGGGGATGGGGTTCCCTGAGGCGGGGCCACACCACCTGCTCCCCCCAGCTACCACCAGGGCCCTTGCCTGCGGAATGGGGACAAGCAGTTCATCTTTGTAGGTTGTGTGGGGGTGAAACACGCTAACAGAAAGGCGAGCAAGAGGATGGCCCCCACGATGAGACAGGCAGTAGGGCTGGCTGCTCCCTTTTCTAAGCATCAGTCTTCCCATCTATAAAGTGGGTGCTATTCCTCTCCTGTGCCACCTGGGGTGAGGAAGAAGCGAGCTCCCATGCCAGGGGCCAAGCAGGTGGTGGTCAGCACCCAGACTCCACCTGGCAGAGGGGCGCTCACATGGCGGGTTCCTGGGTGTGGTGCGGTGTGGCGGGAGAACAATGGCTTGGATTTGGGTCCAGGCTCAGCCACTCACTGGCAGTGTGAGCTTGGGTGTGACAGCTCACCTCTCCATGCCTCAGTCTTCCTCACCTGTGGCATGGGCCGTTAATCAGGGGTTGTTGGGGGCACTTCAAGACCGAGGCCCGGTGGAGTCAGCCCAGCTTTGCCTGTGGAGTTCTGAGCCTGGTGCTTCTGCCTTCAAAATGCCCCAAACACCTCCCCTCCACCCTCCGTCAGTGGGGGTCCTCCAGGAACCCTTGCATTGCCAACGGGCCCCTGCCTCCTACCCATTTGAGGCAATAAAAGCTCATAGCATCAGGCACCTCGGCAGAGGGCCCAGGTGAGAAGGGCTGGGAGGTGGGCGGCTGGAGGGGCAGGGAGATTGAGAAGGCACTGGGAGAAGTTTCCCAAGCTGCAGCTGCAGCCTCACTTTGCCCCTTCCCAATCAGGGGCCTACAGAATCTCTGAGCCTCAGTTTCCCTATGCTGAGGTCCTTTTGTCAGGATTGGTCCTCTTCCTGTGGTCGTGGAGCGAGAGGCAGGGGAGAGGACTGAAGGAGTGGAGTCTGGCTCAGCCAGTCACATCAGCAAGAGGGCTTGTGGAGGGTCTGTAGAGGATCCCCCACCACAAGGATGGGCTGGGGCCCTGGAAGGTGGGGAAATGTCCTGCTGTCGTGGGAGGATGGGGGCTGGCCCGTGGCCCATGGAAGGTCCTGGGTTTGTTTGCTGTTGTTGCAAGTGACAGATTGTCTTCGAGGGGCAGGGTGTGTGGGCTGTGCCTTCCCCACACTGTCTGGGCCCTGGCCTCACCCTCCCTCGGCTGCCTAAGGACAGTGCAGCCCCTGGTGCCATCCCTTCCTTACTCCCTGCCCCCGCCTTGAATCCGTGGCAGCTGGTACAGCACCAGGAGGGGCCTGGCAGGTGGAGGCCAGGATGGTGGGAGGCAGAGGCAGCCCTCCTGCTGTCCTAGGCCTGCGGCCTGGAAGACTCCCCGAGAGCCTCAGTCTGTGCATCCGGGAAAGGGGTCAGGAGAAGGAAGCACAAGCTCCACGATAATGTGTCAAATGAGAGAACGAATGTGTGGGAGTGTGTGTTGCAGGGGGGTGTGAGTAAGTGGTCCCTACCCGGACCCCATTGCAGGGTTACCTAGGGCTCCTGGCCTCGGCTGTGCCTGGCCAATGGAGTTCATGCTGCCCCAACCCTGCCTCCCTGGTGAGCCCTGACCTCTGACCCCCAGGCAGGGCTGCCTGACCCTCTGTGGCCACCCAGGGCCTGGGCTTCAAGGTCCGTAGAGCAGGCCTGGCTGCCCCACCTGGCTCTCCAGCCTCTGCACTCCTCGGTGTCCCTGACCTGTGGCCTGGCTGCACCCACTCCCCAGCCAAGGTCGCCGGTGCTCTCCTGGCAGCCAGATCCCAGATGCTGTGCTTGCTCACACCCATCCATTCACTCACTCACTCCTTCATTTGTTCATTGCTGGTCTGCTAGATCCTGCTCTGAGCCCAGCAGATGAAGGGGTGTGACCCTTGCCATCAAGCCTTTCCAGGATTAAATGCTTTGAAGAACCGGTGGTCCCAGAGCAGCCATGGAAGCCCGGCTGGAGGGGTGGGCATGCTGTCCCACCCCCTGCATCTCCCTGCACTATCCCTAGAACCCATAAGCCCAGCTGGGTCCCACCACACCAGGTGCTTTGTGCTGCAGTTTCTTCTTTTGTCACTGTGTTTTAAACACTTTGCACTTCGGGAACTATTCTTGTGCATCATGGCCTGACTGGTGTGCGTGGAATCCCTTCCTGAGAATGCACCATAATTGATTTATCCAAACCTGCCTTGACCTCTCTCGCTGCCCGCAGTCGTGTTGCTGGATGCTGGGAGATGTAGCCTGTCCTCAGCAGAGGGACCCACCCACCAGGTCCAGTGGGTGGTCAGGACCCCCTCCCCTGACACTTGGGCAGACTTCCAGGGATGCCAAGGCGGCGGGCCCAATCCCATTCCCCTTCCAGCCCCACTGAGGCCTTTTACAAATGTCGGCCAGCCAGGTGAGGGGTCATAGGGAGTGGAATCTGCTTCTGACCAGGATTCCACTCTGAGGATGGCTGTTTGTGCTCCAGGTACTAGGGGCCCGCCTCTCTCCTGCCCCCTTCACGCAGCCTCCGGCCTTGCCCACTGTGTTGACAGATGGTTCTCCCCATCTCTGCACGGGCCCCACTGCTTGGCCCTGCTGGGGGAGGGTGGAGAATGGGTGATGGTTGCACCTTCCCACAGCTGTGTCCCATTTGATGGAGATGGCCCATGGCCCCTGAGGACCCTCACAAGGACAGTCAGACCCAGGAGGTGGAGCTGAAAGGCAGGGGCTGCTAGCAGACCCCCTGGAGTGGCCTCAGGGAGGTGCTGAGCAGGCAGAGACTTGGGACCCCCATGTTGGCTCATGCAGGCCTGGCAGGCCATGAGCAATATTCGGAGCCTTGACATGTGGAGCTGGGCTGATCTGGGACATGGGGGTGTTAGGAGCTGACCCAGCTTTGCTGAGAGCAGCCTGCCCAGTGCCTCAGTGGTGTCCTCAGCTGTCTGATCAGCACCCTGGCATTCTTAACTGGCCATCACACATCACACTCTGTGGATTTGAAGTTCCACCAAATGTTGTGGGTATCAAACAAAGGTTTTGTGGTGGTAGGGCCAGCCTGTGGCTCACTTGGGAGAATGTGGTGCTGATTTGAAATAGGTGGTATTTTTCTGATGGGTTGAGTCCTTAAACAAACAAACAAACAAAAAAACATAAAATGAAAGTAAGTCTCTGGGCTGGCCCATGGCTCACTCGGGAGAGTGCGGTGCTGATAACAACAAGCCCCCGGGTTCGGATCCCATATAGGGATGGCCAGTTAGCTCACTGGCTGAGTGTGGTGCTGACAACACCAAGGCCATGGGTTCGGATCCCTATATAGGGATGGCCGGTTAGTTCACTGGGTGAGCGTAGTGCTGACAACACCAAGTCAAGGGTTAAGATTCCCTTACCGGTCATCTTTTTTTTAAAAAAAAAACAAAGGTTTTGTGGTCAAATTTGGGACTGGCTGGGTTAAATGGTGCTGATGGAGCTCCTTTACCACAGGGCGTCTCAGAGCCTTGGTTCTGGAGTGAGCAGTGCCCTGTCTGACAAGCACCCTATGCACATGCTTTAGGGCCTGGTGTACCCAGGAACACGTTTTGGGAAACAATGGCTAAGGTCCCTCAAAGGGCCAAATGGGGGCATCTTTGGGCCCCCGGTAAGGGCCCTGGGATGGGTTGGCCATCCCACACAAACCCTGCACCCACGGGGCCCCTAGTGGGTGTAGGGACCACAGCTTCTCCCCAGCAGTGAGGCAATGTGCAAATTTAACCTTTGGATTTATGACTCTATTTCTTTGCAGCAAATGTCACGGGAAATGTCAGGCCAAGGCTGAAGCTGGGCGAGGGGCCCCGTCGAGGAAGGGGGTGGGGCCGAGCAGGCTGGAGTGCAGACTGGCTTAGGCCAGGGTGGGTCTCCAGGCCCTTCACCTCTTCCCAGGAGCCCACTCGGATTGCCCCTTGCGTGCCTGGGTCCCCAGTGCTGTAGATTTGTCCCAGCCATTGTGACCTTGTTGTGATGTTGCCTTTATTCCCCTCCTGCCAGGGCCCAGATGGGGCCAGCTCAGGGACCTGCCAGAAGTCCCCCCTCCCCCCTGAGTCTGGGCAGCCATAGGATCAGCTTGTGCGGTGCAGGTTCGCTGTGTGACCTTGGGCAGTGCCACCCTTCCCTGGTCACCAGAGGCCTTGTCTGTAAGCTGCGGCTGTTGACCAGAGGTGCTGTTCCCGGCTCGGTGCCCTCGTGGATGGGAAAATGCTAGGAGTCCTCAGCATGTGGGGGGGATGTGGGACTCTGAGGAGGTGGGTGTGGGCTAAGTGCAGGGCCAGAGTTGGGGGCTGGCTTGTGATGTCCTGTGGAGCAAGCCTCTCCCACAGCAGGTGCTCAGTAAAAGGTGGACGTGGAAGGTGAATTGTTCAAGGTTGCTGGGAATCCTCAGCCTCACCCCCAACCCACCCCCACACCACATCCAGTTCAAAGCCTCAGCCTGGCCTGTCACGGAGCTCTGCACTGGCTCTCAGGGCCGGGAAGTTAGTCAGCGAACAATGACTGCCTCCCTGCTGTGTGCGGGGCCTGTGCAGCTGATAAGGGGTCTCTGTCTACCCAGCCTGCCCCCCCAGCAGCTCCACGTCTCCCCTGCACATGCAGCCCCCCTCCACTGGGCGTCCCAGGACCCCCAGATGGTATTGCATCCTCTGTACCCGACATCCATGCCCAGGGTCCTGGTCTCCTCCCTCTACCCATCCCCAAAGGCAAGTCCAACGTCAAGTCTGACCCTCTCCCTGTCCATCCCCTTTTATTCCTCACTGAAGGCCTGCCTCTGACCAGCGCCCCTCCTAGGCCCGTGCCACCGATGCCCCAGGCTCCCTGCCTTCCATCTCATCCTCCATCCAGGCTCCGAGGTGTTCTTAGGACACATTCTAGCCAGGCCCCTCCCACCTAAACTCTCCCGTGGCTGCCCCTAGATGAAGCCTTAGTCCCTCGTTTCCAGGGCGTGGGCCAGAGGGTCTCATGTAGGAACTGTCTCTTCCGTCCTTGCTGGGAGATCCCCCTGTCCATCTCTCCACCTCCACATCCCCCAACAGCCCAGGAGGGTGCAGGGAGCCATGAATGGTGGGGCTGCCGCACCAGCAGCGCCTTGTGGAGGGAGGGGCCCAGAAGTAGCTGGCACTAGTGAGGAGGAGCATCTCATCGGCGTGAGCAGTGCCTGGGCAGCAGCTCCGGGTGATGCCAGAGCTTGTGGCCCTCAGGGCTGGCTGTCACGTGCAGACCAGTTGGCTAAGATGGCTGCAAGAGGGTTGCTGTGCTGGGGGCTCCAGAGCGAGCCATGTACCTGCGCAAGCCACTCACCCTCTGAGCTTCCCTGCCCGCACGTGGGTGTCGTGCAGCTGGAGTCAGTGGTGAGTGCTGCCCACAGGCCTGGCTGTGTGGGAGCTTGACTCGGACAAGCTGGCTGGCTCCCGGGCCCTTCCCATCCAGGCCAGGACCTTCCCCCACCCCTTCATGCCCTGGGCTGGAATTTGCTGTGGACATAGAGTCTCATGTAGGGCTCGGGGGCCCTCAGTGGGAGATGGGACTTCCCACCCTGCCTGCCCTCAGTGGATCCAGGGTGGAACCGAGGCCGGCAGTGGGGATGGGTGTTTGGGCCCCACTGTGCTCCCTGGAGCCGGAGACTTGGCGAGCGATGGGGGACCAAGAGGAAGAGCCCCTGTCTGGGGCTGCCCCTCCCCTGTCAGTCCTTGTGCCATGAGGGTCCTCATCAGCCATTCAGAGGGAGGCAGAGACACATTAGTTCATACCGTGGAGAGCCCAAGTGTCAGAGGGGCTGAGAGGCGTGGCAGACCCCAGGCAGGGCTGGCAGCTCGGGGGTCTGGAGGGCAGGCCGGGGCCCACGTGGGAGGGTCTCCACTTCTCAGTGAGAAGCCTGAGGCCCAGTTTGGCCCCCAGGCAGGAGCCCAGCCACAGGAACTTCACACTGACTTAGAAGGAAATTTGCAGTCCTCTGTCCCACCACTCGCTTTGTGCCAGCTTCTCGGTGCAGTCGGAGGGGCTGCCTCTGCTCCTTGGGCAGCGTCCCCAGCTGTAGCAGGGCAGTGTCCAGGCAGTGGGAGATTGGGCCACCTGCCCCCTGTGTGTGGCCTCAACCCCAGAAGCACCTTCTGCCCTGGAAGATGTGGCTGGAAACAGAATCCAGCAGAAAGGCCAGCTGGCAGGGACTGAGGAATGCTGCTGGCGCAGGCCTGGCCAACCGTAAGGATGACAGTGCCGGAGGGCCACAGGGCAGCCCAAGTAATGCAGGATGGGCCTCACCTGGTCCTCCAGGCCCCCCTACCTCCACACTGCACCCGGCCCGGAACCTGGGAGCGGGCCCTGGTGCTCCCCACTTCACGGAGCCCTGCCAGCCTCCCTCCCACACACTCGCTCTGCTTCCTTCCGTCCTCCCTGGTTGAGGCCTCCCGGCTTTCCCTGGACACATCCAGCTCCCTCATCCTCACAGAACACAGAACTGGATGGTCACACCCTGCCCAGCCTGTGTCCCCCAAGGCTCCATGGGGCCTCCTGAGGGTTGAGGGCGTGTGAGGAGGTAGTAGGTGAGCCTGGCAGGACTGGCATCTTGGGTCACCTTGGGAGCTCAGATGAGACCCCCAGCGCCATCCGAGGAAGCAATGGGACTGTTCATTGTTTCCCCCAATGGGAGCATCCCCTGCCCCAGTGGCAGGGGCCTTGGGGGCTGTGCATAACCTGGCAGGTAAACTCGAAGCATCTCCTGAGGAGAGCCCTCCCCTCACCAACCTTGGCAGGGTTAGTGGGCACCAAGACACACACAGGGAAGAAGGGGAGCCCTGGGTGGGCCCCACTGTGGGGAGACCCCTGGGGTCATGCGCTTTTCCCTTCATTCTCTTGGCAAATTCTTCCTGGCATCAGTTCCAGGCCAGCCCCATGTTGGGCAGCTGGGGACCCTGAGATTCTTGTGACATGCTCTGTTCCCAAGGCCCCCCATGTCCCAGGAAGACAACCCAAAGCCCATGTGGTCATCAGGAGAGAGAAGTGCTAGCATGGGTGCCAGCAGTGGGGTGTGGACCTGAGGCCTGCACTCCCCCCCGCATTGTACCCCCACTGAGGCTACACTGGTCCCAGGACTTAAAGAGGGCTGGGGCTGCTGGACAAGAGGGAGGGGCTCCTGGCAGCTGAAGTCCCCAGAGCAGAAGGCCCAAGGCTGTGGGACATCCCACTGCTCCGTGTGAAGTGGGTGGGGTGGTTCTGTGGGTGCAGGCCAGCCCTGGGCAGGGGGGAGGGAGATAGAGGGCAGGTGAGGAACTTGTGGGGGCCAAGTGGAGGGAGGGGCTTGGGGATCTCAGGCCTGGAGGGAGGGGTGGAGGCTGCGGAGGTGGACGGGGGATGAGCCCCCTCGGCCCCAGCGGGAGGCCTGGCCATGGCTCTTTGTGCTCTGAGGCCTGACACGTGGCCCCTGCACACCAGGCCGTGTCCAGGCTGTCTTTCATCTCCCTGCCTCGGCCCCAATTTATGTCAGGCAGAGGCTGACACAGGGACAGGTGTGACAAGTGTCTGGCTTCCTGTTTGAAAATTGGCAAAAGAAAAACTCTCCCCATAAAGATATTCTATCTACATAGCTACCGGATGTCACTGAGAGGACCCGTCACGGCTGAGACAGATGGTGGCCCTAATGGACTCCATTCTTCACCCGCTGCTGGTGTGGCGGCCCAGCCCCTGGGTGGCCCAAGGCAGGTGGGGTGGGGCGTCAATACCTCTATGAAGCCCTCCCTGACACGTGGCCTGCCCAACTCCTGCCGTATCCACCAGGACTTCTGTCACAGCCAGGGACCCCAGAGGCAGGTGGCCTGGATATCTGAGGCTCCAGCAGTCCCAGCACCACCCTCCTGGCCCCTCGACTCCCAGCCTTGGCACGTGGTGGCAACACCTCTGCTTCCCCCTCCCAGATGAGGCATTGCCTCCTCCAGGAAGCCACTCTGACCACCCCACCTGGGAGTGCTGTCACTGTCACTTACAGTCACGGAGCTCTGGGAGGTGGGGTGCCCAGGGATGCCTGGGCTCCATATCACAGGGAAGCTGATGTGGCATGACCATCTTCATCACACTGCCTCCGGGTCTGGGCTGTGATGAGGGCCCTGGCGGCTGGGGGGTGGGGTGAAGCGGTTGCTCTAGTTGGGGAGGGAAGAGCTGCAGGCCTGCATGCTCCCAGCCTCCATGGCTCATTTACACCGCATTCCCCACCCTCACCCTACAGAGGAGAAACTTCCCTTCGCCCCTCCATGGGGAACATCAGTGCCCATGGGCTTATGGGCAGAGACTCTCCCAGGGCTGGACATCCTCAGGGAATGCCATCTCCACAGCTGTGCAAAGGGGATTGCACAAAGCCTACCGCTTGCCTCTAGTGGTGGGCACTTACTGCATTCACGTGACAAACACTTACGGAGCACCTCCCGTGTGCTGGTCACTAGCCATGGCCCTGCCCCTTTAGAGCCCACAGCCCAGCGGGCCGACCAACGGAAACGAGCCATGCGGAGGCCCGCTAAGGTGGCCAGCGAGGGCGTGCGGTGCAATGGGCACCCTGGCAGTGGATGGAAGGTGGAGGGCCGTCAAGGGGACCCTGGGAGCAGGCCCACCAAAGTGCGCTCCCCTGGACCCTGCCCTCCCATTTCACAGATGAGAGACCCAGACCCAGAAGCACCTTCAGTTGGGCCGAGTGGCTGGGGTTGGGGGTGACCCTGTCTTGCTGGCCTGCTGCAGCCACGATGGGGGCGGGGACGCAGCTCTGGAGGAGCAGGCAGGCGGGGCCTGACTTCCTGTGGGCCTGGCCTGGGAGGGAGGCAACTGGCTGGCTGGTTGCCCGGTGGGTTGCAGGATTTTAAATATGCATTAATGGGAAGAGGCGCTGAGACCTGGGCCAAGGGCCACTGCCCTGAGCGGGCTGAGGCTGGGGATTGGGGGCTGGAAATTGGGGGCCTGAAGTCGGGGACCAGGTCTGTCTGACCCAGGCCTGGACTGCCTGGGCAGGGATGCCAGCTGGGTGCTGGGTGTATCCTCTGTGAGGTGGAAGGTCAGGCTGCCCCAGTCCTAGTCCTCGGGGGTTACATGGGGGGGATGAGTGGAGCATGGCCTGTGGATGGTCCCCTGACCCCCAATGACCCCACCATGGCCACCGGTGCCTGTGGTGGCCCCCAGTATGGTCTTGGGTTTGGAGGTTCCGCCCCCACCTGGCCTTCCCTCAGCCCAGGGGGCGTCTGTGCCCTGGGCTCAGTGGGCTGGGCTGGGCCTCTTTTGGAGCTTCCAGAGGGTGTGGGGGTGGGAGAGGCTGTGCTGGGTGCCTGAGCTGACCCCTCCCACGTCCCAGAAGGAGTTGCTTAGGAAATGAGGCCGGGTGTGCCCAGCCCCGTGCCCCCGGGGCAGCCGACCCCCTTCCCCTCGCCCTGCCCACAGGAGCTCCCGAAGTGTCAGCCTCAGGAAGTAGCCGAAATACACTGACCTCCTTTTCCAGAAGGCAGCGGCGCCTGGGCCTCCCACCCTCTTGGGTGAGAAGCCGCCAACAATTTCCATCCCAAATTGATTTCAAATAAGGAAGAATTATCACACACAATCATATAGGAATAATTTATCACTCGTTAATAAAAGAGCAATTACTTATTCACATCACCCCTGCCTGCGTGCCTTGGGTTTGGTTGCAGAAGTGTGTTGGGGGCTCTCGTAGAAGCTGAGAGAAGCCTGTTTGCGCTCAGCCAAGGTCAGGGCCGAAGACCCGACTTCATTGCAAGGTGGCCCCTGCCAGGTTTTGACTGCCCAACCCCCAGGGTGTGGCCTGGATCAGGCGTGGGGAGCTCAGATCTGTGAATGGGGAGGTGGCAAGTGTGAGGGGAACAGGCAAAGTGCAAGGAGGGGCTGGGGCAGGGCCTCGTCAGGGTGTGGGGCTGGGCCACGTGGGAGTGGAGGGGCATTGAGGCTGGGTGAGGCAAGGTGGTGCCTGGCCAGCAGTGGAAGGCCCCAGCACAGAGCTGGACTTTTAGGCCAGAAGCCACCCTTTAGGGGTCTGGATTGCAGAGCCCAGAGTGTCCTGGCTGACCCAGATGTGTCCTCACCACTGTTGGCTGAGCAGAGGGCCTCAGGGCAGTGTTCAGGGCCTTGTCCCTGATCCAGACACCAGATGCCCAGGGCCATGCACCCAGGTGCATTACAAGCTCTCACGGTCCCTCTTTCTCCTCCTGCACCTCAGAGACACCTGCTTCTAACCCACAGTTGTCTTTACCTTCTGGAAGATACACTTTGTTTTCTTCTTTTTCTTTATCTCTTTCTGAGATTCCAGTGCCAAATATGCAGCTGTTTTGTAAAACAATGACATTTTGGTCAACGATGTCTTGCGCAAGGTTAAAACCCGCACCAGCCAGGTAGGCTGGTCTGGAGAATCGGCTTGCTCTGCCCTGGCCCCCAGTGTCCCTTGTAGCCCAGGGAACTGTTGTCCCTCTTCCCCTTCATATTTCTGAGGCTCCCACTCCAGGCCATTCTTCTCTGGCCACTCCCCAGTATGGCTGTCCCACTGCCAACAGTTAAATTCACAGCCAGTGTCTCCCAACCCCAGTCACATAAACACTCTTCAGTGCCTCACCACAGGGTGACTGTAGTGACCTTCCCTCTCTTGCATGGCCTTTTGTTTTTTCTGGGGTTTACAGTTGACTTTTTTTTTTTCTTTTGTCCCATCTCCCACCCTCATGGGCTTACTCTTCCCCACGTCAGGGGTTCTGTTGGGTCTTTCATTTTTCCCCAGGGAAGGCCTTACCCCATACCCTTGTCTTGCCCGTCCCATGACTTCCCCTCGCCACCCATTGGGATTGTAGTCAATGTTTCCTGGGCCCCACATTTTCCTCTTTCTGAGTTTATACCCTCAATTTTGTCTGAAGCATATCCCCAACTAACTCTCTGAGGAAGATATAGTGAAGAATCATTCCATGAGTTCTCTCATGTTTGCAAGTCTGTTGAAGTTGGATTGTCTGGGTCCAGAATTCCATGTTGAAAATAGTGTCCCTTCAGAGTTTTGAAGCCATTGCAATGTTGTTGTCTTCTGGTATCTAGTGTGCTGTGGAGAAGCCCAATGCCATGTTGCATCATTCATGATCAGCTTTTCCTCCTGAGCTTCAGTCCTCTCTTGATCCCCAGGGGCCTGAAATTGCACTGAGATTGCCCAACAGAAGACAGGGTCCTCAGCTCTGGGAAGTTTTCTAGTATTATTTCTTTGATAACTTTTTCCCCTTTATTTTCTCTGTTTTTTTCTTTCTGGAACTCCCTTAAAACAGATGTTTGACCTATATTTTTCTCTGAATCTCATTCATTTTTTCTTTCTCTTTTGTTTTCTTTCTGGAAGATTTTCTTGACCTTGTTTTCCAACCTTTCTATTGATTTCTTTCTTCCTTCCTTTTTTTTTTTTTTTTTTTTTTTTTCTTTTTTTTTTTTTTTTTT